CACATGGCAGACATTACAATCACTGAATAACAGGTTCCTGGCTTGGAACAGGCAAAAGAAGGAAGCAGGGATGATATATTTGTTGGCACACAACCCTCCTCCTAGTGGGACAGAGGTGTAGCAAAACAACAAAACAACAAATTGTAAAAATTAATCATTGCAGAATTGTGCAAGTAATTGTAAAACTGTGCATTTGAATTAAAATTATTGCAGATATGTTAAAATAGTTGTAAAACTATGCAATTGAATTAAATCATTGTAGAATTAAGAAAATAATTGTAAAACCATACACTTGAATTGAATAATTGCATACTAGTACAAATAGTTGTAAAACTGTGTACTTAAATTAAATCATTGCAGATATGTTCAAATAATTGTAAAACTGTGCACTTGAATGAAATCTTTGCAGAATTATGCAACTAATTATAAAATCGGTGCACTTGAATTGAATCATTACAGATATGTTAGAATAGTTAAAAAAAACTATGCACTTGAATGAAATAATTGCAGAATTATGCAAATAATTTTAAAACTGTGCACTTGAATTGAATCATTGCATAATCATGCAAATAATTGTAAAACTGTGCATGCACTTGAATCAAATCATTGCAGATATGCAAAAAATTGCAAAACTGTGAACTTGAATTTAAATCCTTAAACTTCTATTAACCCTAAAATAGGAATTATGCAGCATTTTGTTAATTGTGTTCAGTACGAATAAAACTTGCAGAATTAAAATGCATGCCCGATTGGTCTGATATATGTCTATTTGGGCATGCCCAGTTCTGCAATTATTTCAGCATGCGCGTAGCTACGTTTACGTCAAAACGCCCGGGCGTACACATAAATTTTGAAGAAAAAAATATTTGAACCCAAATAAATTATAAGAACTGATTAAAAGCACACGAGCCTTGTATTTTTTTCTTCAATGACTTGTAATTGGATATAAAAGACAAAGTGACGAAATATACTTTTTAATCAAATGGTATCATATGATTTATTAGGTACTTTTATGTCATATACATGTAGCTCTGTAACTGTTTCGGTTCTTATACATCCTCGGCTTTGATCGTTCCTGATGAAGGTAAATGCAGAAAAGCGCTTCAAACTCATGAAATTAATAATGTGTTGTTTTCATATTTCATATTATATATTTTTTTTCATTTTCTGTCAAAGTCTCAATCTACTGTGAATTCTACTCAGTTTACTATTGTTTAAAGCAATTCATTATCTGGTCAGATACGATGTGGCTTGCATTTTTATGTTACAGTTCAATATTTATTTTTACCGTAACACCTGCCCATCTATGAAAATTAATTAGAACATATGTCCATTAACAAAATTTAAGTGTAAAAAGGTGAGTAAACTAGATCTATAAGGTCAAAAAAATTAATAGAACGACAACATTGAAATGGAGACTTGCCTTTTGACTATCTCTATATTATAAAGTTTTGATTTGTTGTCGATTGATTGTTTACCCCACATCTCCTTTTAAACGAAACTTATTAAAATATATATCTCTGATTTCGTTATACTCATAAGATACGAGCATGCGAGTAAATATAGATACAAGGTGCTGCTGGAATGTTGCTACATAGAAAAGAAAAGTTCACAATTGGAGGCTGAAATCATCTCCTTTGTCGTAAAGTTTTGTTCTCAACCGACCAAGTATGTTGCTATTGATGAGTTTTTAATGACAGACATTGGTATCTCTTTCTCAATAACGTGTGAACATCCGGGGGTTTCGCCCCCAACTAGGAGGTCCACTGTTCTGGACCTCAAACCCCTCGATGAGGTTCGGGCGTACACTTAAAAATGGCCTAGCTACGCCACTGATTTGTACTTATTTTTACCTGAAGAATGGTAAACGGTACGCCATCCAAATTTAACCTTGATCTGTGTTTTTTGGTAATAAGCATTGTCAGAAGTCTATTAATAGTAATGGACATTTGGCATTGTGTATAAGTTTCATAACATTTGGTTGAGGCAAACTAAAGTTAGAGAAGGGAAACCAATTTCGGAATGTACGTATAGATGGACGGACGTACAGACAGACAAGGGTAACACTTAATGCCCCCTCCACTGTGGCGGGGTCATAAAAAGTTCAATATAATAGATCATATTTAAAATCTTACTCTTTGAATTGATGAAAAACGTTTACAGCCTTTACACAAACTCCTGAGTGCAGACACATATCAAATTAAGATTATTTTGTCGGTTCGTAAATAAGGGTAGTGAAATACAGAGTAAAAGAGGGTTTGCATTTTTTCTTTTCTTTTCTAAAGTTTCATAAACAGTTCGCCTGAGAAAAAAACCCAAACACAACAATTAAGGCAAAAGGCCTACAACTTAGTAAAAGATATTTTTTTGGTAAGAAAGACCTGGGCCAATGTGACCTTTGACCTCTGAACAGAATGGAACTAATTCAACAATCAAGTCTCCCATCAGCCTTTTCCCATTTTTCTTCTTAAGAACAGCTGAATAATTTTAAACAAATCTCAACCAATATGTTTTTGTAGAAGGTCAATAACAAGTGTTGTTATTTTGGTGTCGACCATAATTGCAACTGGTTTTCAGCAAATGTAAAAGTTTACTATTTGAGAAATAACATTTTGTTTTGGTTTTTTTTTTAAAGAAAGGATGCCATGAAATAAAAGCAAACCTTGCAGAAATGTTTCTTTGAAGGTACTTACCATGTGTTGTCACTTAGGTCCATTGAAGATTCTGATAGAGATTCAAGAGGCAATAAAATGCTCAGCTGGGCGTAGCTTGATACAACCGCAGAGGTCGAACCCTGAACAGTTGGGGCAAGTATGGACACAACATTCAAGCTTGATACAGCACTGAATTTGGATTGTGATTAAATATTTGACACAGCATAGGTTTCTGACTCAGAATGAATGTGGTCTAAGAACTTAAAATTTTTTAATTTACCTATTCAAACCATATCATTATTATTTGCTTTTATATATAAATCAGAAATAACCAATTTAAAATGTAAAATTTTAAAGAAAAAAAAGGAAAAAAAAAATCCCCCCCCCCAAATTTTTTGAACCCCCTTATGATTCATCACCCCCAAACTCAATCCCAGCCTTCCCTTTATGGTATGGTACCTTGCAGTACAATTTCAGAGAGATCCATACACTTGAACACAAGTTATTGTCTGGAAACTAGAAAAATGCTTGTTTTTTGGCCCCAAATTCCTAAACGTGTAGGGCAATTACCCCAAACTCAAACCCAGCTTTCCCTTTGTGATTTGGAACCTTGTAGTACAATTTCATAAAGATCCATACACTTACACACAAGTTATTGTCCTGAAACTAGAAAAATGCTTGTTTTTTGCCTCTTTTTGGCCCCTAATTCCTAAAATTTTGAGGCAATTACCCACAAAATCAATCCAAGCCTTCCCTCTGTGGTATGGTACCTAGCAGTACAATTTCATAGAGATCCATACACTTGAACACAAGTTATTGTCTGGAAACTAGAAAAATGCTTATTTTTGGCCCCTTATTCCTAAACGTTTTGGGCAATTACCCCCAAACTCAATTCCAGCTTTCCCTTTGTGATATAGAACCTTGTAGTACAATTAAAGAAAGATCCATACACTTACACACAAGTTATTGTCATGTAACTAGAAAAAAATGCTTGTTTTTTGCCCCTTTTTTGGCCCCTAATTCCTAAAATTTGGAGGCAATTACCCCCAAAATCAATCCCAGCATTCCCTTTGTGATATGGAACTTTGTGGTACAATGTCAGAGATCCATACACTAACACACAAGTTATGTCTGGAAGTTACAAAAATGCTTATTTTTGGCCCCTAATTCCTTAACTGTTGGTACCATAACCCAAAAAATCAATCCCAACCTTCCTTTTGTGGTATTGAACCTAATGGTAAAATTTCATAGAGATCCATTCACTTAAACTAAAGTTAGAGTGCGAAAACCAATGTGTCTTCGGATGACGATGACGACGATGCCAACGTCATACCAATATACGACCCCAAAAGTTTTTTGCGGTCGTATAAAAATGGGGTCCAAATAGTCTGATTTACAAATATCTTTTTTCTCTTAAATCACTGAACCAATTGAAAACAAATTTGCAGATATTTTTTGGGGAAATTAAAATGACCGCAAGCTAAGGTCAAAGTAGTTAGAGTGAAATGAAAACAAACCAGTCCAAGCCTTATTATTTGATGCAGAAATGTTCCTTAGAATTTACTAGACAAGTGTTGTTATACTTTGGTCTTTATGGAAAGTCCAATACAGCCTTTTAAGGGGCCAACTATAAGGTCCACTGCAGTTTTAAAGATCTTCTTTTCAAGATTCTTAACTTGACAGGGTTCCTTTGAAGTCTTAACTGTGTAGTTACTTTAAAAATTTATGTGTTTGGCTGATACTTTTAAAAAATGGACTCTAGGAAGAATTGTACTTTTACATTAGCTACCCACACAATTCTGCTACCATAGACACAAACCTTTCAACTGAAGCTATGCTCCAACTTCTACCTTATGATATCAAGGTCATTTGATGAAGGCGAAAAACTATTTATGTGCAACTTGTAAAAATCTAAGGTGTTTTAAATCTCATCTGACATGCTAAATATAAATCCAAAGATTACTTCTTGCATGGCAGTTAATCATAACAAAGATAAATGGGGAATGTGTCCATGAGACACAGATGATACCCCTGCTTGCATATAACGTTATAAAGGGACATAACTCAAGAACGGTAAAAGTGACTCTACTAAAATTCAAACTTGATCTGTGTTTTGTGGTAATAAGCATTGTGTATAAGTTTCATAACACTTGGTTAAGGTAAACTAAAGTTAGAGAACAGAAACCAATGTTGAGACGTACAGACGTACATACGGACAAGGGTAAAACTTAATGCCCCCTCCGCTACGGCGGGGGCATAAAAACAGTTCACTCTATCTTAAGGAATATACCTGGTACCGTCCTGAACTAGGCTCATACATCAATACACATCCTCTTCAGACAAAAAGATAGTTCTATTCTTTAATATCATTCCAAAAAATATACAATAAATAGATCAATTATCAATATACATCTAGTTAATTCATATAATAATTTCCAAAGCATTAAAGATAGCCATTCTAAGCTGTCCTTAAAAGTCCTTTACATGAATAGAATAATCTGCCTACCTTACTATAATTAAAAAAAAATACGGTATTCTATTTAAACATAACACACAATATTACTTAGGAAGCAAATTATGATCACTTTAATGTATGACTGCTTTTAAAATTAACCTTCAAACATGATATCACGAAAAATAATTATCATGAAAAAATTGTCTGGCTTGTTTTGGAAGGAGTTATGTTTAAATGGAATAGCCCTAGACACGTGTAGCATAAGGGCTGTTCCATAAAAACATACATGGGACCCAGGGAAGGCACTTTGAAATCTCTACTATCATGACTATGGAAGGAAATGTAATTGAAATTCTCAATTTGCCTCTACAGGTGGTTACCCCATTATTAAAGTGCCTTCCCTGGGTACCATGTATGTTTTTATGGGACAGCCCTAAAGAAATGACTATTAATATCACAAATCATATCACAAAAACTGCAACATATAACACATATTCTCCTCCTCAAACCTCCAATTCATGGCTTGATTCCTTTTCTACTGGCCTTTTCAAAATTTATATTATGACTTATATAATATTGATTTGCTACAACAGAAAAAGAAATAGCACTTGACTTCATCCTCTGGACCATTATCTTCATTTTAATTACATTTGTACCTGTCACTTGGTTTCAATGTTTTATACGATCTAATATTTCCACTAATAATGTTTGGAACAAAATCTACTAAATGACCTGACAATTATGCACTGTAAAACGTCATTCAACATCTTTTTCTGTTTTCCTTGTAAACTAATATTTCCACTACCATGACTATGGTTTTATGTTTTCATGCCACTTTTCAATATAAATGTCAACTTGGCAAGGTCTTACATAATGTCAATTAATGTTAATACATAATTGTAAATGAATTCTATTTTTATTTCCATCACGTTTATGTATGGATGTTATTACTGAGATCAAATAAAATGGTTGTACGATGTATTAGCACTGCTCATGAGAATTTTAAATGACGCAATAACTAAACTCAACAGATATGACAACTGTCACTGAAGTTCAACTAAAAAAATTTATAAGTTGATGTTATAGTTCTATTCAACTTCAAATTTATCTTCGAGGATATTATTTGAAACTCTTGAATCATGTTATGCACTGAAGTTGTAATTTCATGTAAAAAGTTCTTGATACTTTTTTCAGAAAATTCTCGACTTCTGAATTTTTTTACAACAGATTTTCATCTCAATAATTTTATGTGTAGAAAATGATTTCCGGGATCTGTCCATCTTCTACTGATGTTCCATTGTTGTTGCCTGCAGCATAAGTAAACTGGAAAGTAACCTTTCCACTCGAAACAGATTCATGTGTCACCTTTCTGAGACCTTTTGCTCCATAATATGAGTCTGGACCCTACAACAATATAGATAAAGTGATATGAATGATTCAATTTATAGAATATTTCAACCTTAGATGCATATAAATATCAAATCAACTTTATTGTAATTAAACTATACTGTTTGTGACATAAAAGTATAGAGCATTAATTAGCAAACAATTAGTCATAAACAGCTGCGCCATGAGCGCATGATACGCCCGTCGTCTTGTGTGAGAATTTTTATGCAATAATCATAAATAGTTTCTGACATACGAAAACGCCCCCTTTTTCTTTACAAAAAACCCAATATCTCTAAAATAAAATTTTGAATCAAAACCAAAAAGTATACAGATCTTTAGATTAATATAACTAAGAAGTGTGTAAAATTTAAAGCAATAATCATAAATCATTTTTGAGATACGGCGCAACATGTGAAAATCCCCCTTTTTTAAAAAAAAAGAAATCAATATCTCTTAAACAAAATTTTGAATCAAAACCAAAAAGTATACAGATCTTTAGATTAATATAATTAAGAAGTGTGTAAAATTTTAAGCAATAATTATAAATCGTTTTTGAGCTACGACGCGACATGTGAAAATCCCCCTTTTTAAAAAAAAGATATCAATATCTCTAAAATAAAATTTTGAATCAAAACCAAAAAATATACAGATCTTTAGATTTATATAACTAAGAAGTGTGTAAAATTTTAAGCAATAATCATACATCGTTTTTGAGATACGGCGCGACATGTGAAAAACCCCTCCCCCTTTTTTTACAAAATACTCAATAACTCAAAAATAAAATTTTGAATCATCACCAAAAAATATACAGATCTTAAGATTAATATAACTAAGAAGTTTTAAGCAATAATCATAAATTGTTTTTGAGATACAGTGCGACATGTGAAAAAAAACACACACCAGTTTTAGTTACTAAGTCCCGTAACTCAAAAAGTTTTAATCTTATTTTCACCAAAAAGTATACAGATCGTTTGACCATCATAAGAAACAACTATGTTAAGTTTCATGAAATTTGGATAAGTCGTTCTCAAGTTACTGTGTGACATGTTTACGCCGGACAGACAGACGACATTTGTATACCATAATACGTCCTGTCAAAATTTTGAAGAGCGTATAAAAAGTATATATATATATATATATGTCATTATCAAAGAGGGTCTGTATTGCATTTCTTTATTCTTTTAACTTTTTAAAACCATTTTTCTCTATTATTTAATCATTTTTTTGCAATTATTCTCTATTCTTTATATTTCTGCACCCCATTATTCATTAATCATTATATTTTTGCCTATTTTTCTCTTTTCTGCACTTTTTGCCCATTATTCTCTATTAACCCCATTCAGATCCTCATGAAAGTATACCAATAAACACATACATTTGCATATATATAATTCAAAGCTCTTATCATGTAAATGTTTATCTTTTATTATCAAACATGTTCCAAAATATTAAGTGAAAATCATATTTAAAACCAAAAGCTAATTATATATAAGTTATTAGGATATTCTTGAAGTCTGGAGACTCATTATTCTTTTCATCAATGAGTCACAGGGTATATTAATGGGCCCTAAATACACTAACTCAAAAAGCATAATATAAACTATACTTTGGCAAAGTTTTGAAAGCAGAAAAACTTGAAAGTAGAATGGCCTGAATTCATCCCATAATTTGACATTTATATATCTTATTATTTTACTTTTATCTCCTACTGTAACCGTTATGGCAACTATCAAAACTTTTTGTTAGAGTGCATTTAGCATAATTTAATTTAATCTTCCATATGTATAAGATTCATTCCTTTCAAGCAAGGGAAACTCAAGTTACCATTCAGATACAATTTTTCCAATTTTGTTCTACTTTTAATAAGTGACTATGACCTTTGACCTATTGACCCCAAAATCAGTAGGTACTTTCCCCTTCCCTATATTTATTAGTGTAATTAATATTCCAGTCAGATATTTATTGTAGACTTCCTTCCCTTACAATAGGAACGAGAATAACCATTTCAAAAATTTCAAATGCTTATAATAGTAAAATTTAAAAAAAAAAACTCAATTCAATTTTTCAAAATATCTTCCATTAAAAAGATATTTGAAACTTTCCATTTTCTTATAAATTTTGTCAAATCATACTCTAAATTTGACATTGCTTTCTAGCTCTTATGGCATTATGTTTTATATTATTCATAACATTATTTAATTATATTCTGAGAAATGGGCATACAAACCTTCAAAGTTGAACATGCTGTGTAACTAGTGTTGGGCAGAATTTCAACTGGTTCTTTAAACATCACACGGAAAGTGGAGTTAGAGCCATCACATTGAAAACTGGTGTCATTGTGTCCCATTACTTTACCAGTGTCTGACTGTATAATCTGAAATTTAAAGAAAAGTAAACATTAAATGTTGAAAATATACTAGCTTTCTGGAGGATTATATTTTTGTTATTTCCTGTTACAGTTTTGTTTATCATCATGACTATTGTTTACTTAAATCTGAGTTTTTGTTTTCTGTTACACAGGCATAACAGATTAAAAGTTCATTGTATTGGGTAAGTAGGGTTAATTGGTTAAGTGCTTTTTCTGAGAAAAATGTACAGAAATCCTCCACAACATAAAAACATTGCTTGTAATGCTACTTTGTCTTTTTTCAGAGTTTTCAATAGACATTATTGCTGTAAATTAAAATAGGTCAATGAATTCCAGATGCAAAGGGTCATTTAAAAAAAAATTTACAATCCAAATTCATATTGAAATGTTCATGTCTGATTGGGAAGCATTTTTTTGTAAGACTGACCCTCCTCCAAATAAAAAAAGGGAAAGACTCTTTTTTCAATAGTATTTTTATTTCACTAGCTTGTTTTTTTCATTTGAATTGTTTCACATTTTGTCATGTCTTAAATAACTGACTTTATGGTATGGGTTTTGCTCATTGTTGAAGGTTGTACAGTGACCTATAGTTTCTTAAATATATATGCTTCATTTGGACTTTGTTGCATAGTTCTCTCTATGGCAATCTGTCTACATGTACATCTCCTTATTTTATAACAATAATTACCTGGATCGTAACATAATATTCCTTAGGTCCATGAATACTACCATAAAGACCAAAACCAACTACAAATATTCTTCTATTAACCATGAACCTGTAAGATGTAAATATTTTCATTTATTGTACATGTATGTACAGTATCATGTAAATTTACCAGTGAAATGCCATAAGGTATGGGAAAAAGACAATATTTAAAAATATCTAAAATATAATGAAAGCAATAAATTACATATATTCCTTGTCCATGTTTCCCTTAAAAGGACCAGTCAATACTCTGATTTATTTTCAGCTGTGAAGACCTTTTAAGGATCCTTGGATTTTGTTGTATTGATACAAACCTTCAAAAATTTGGAGGCAAAAATTTCATTTGTTGTCAGATGTAACAATAATAAACTAAACAAAAACTAGGAAGAGGCATTGTCAGATCCTTGAAAGCCAAGCATTGATATCAATTATATAGATATCATATAAGAAGATGTGGTATGAGTGCCAATGAGACAACTCTCCATCCAAGTCACAATTTGTAAAAGTAAACCATTATAGGTCAAAGTACGGCCTCCAACATGGAGCCTTGGCTCATACCGAACAGAAAGCTACATGTATATGTGAAGTTTGGTAAAGGTTGAACATATGCTTAAAAAGATATCATCATGATCATCCCAAAACCAAAATTTTACGTAAATTTCAGTCTATCCATATAGCTGCTGTGACATGGACTTTAGACCTACATGGTATACATGTATTGACCCCCAAATTAAAGCAACAAGGGTCTCCCTAATACCATGTCAGTACGACATTCATGGTCATTGATGATTAGCCAAGTTCTACTACATGTACACTTAAAGGATTTCTTGCACCTTACATTAAATTTAACCTTTAGTTACCCTTATTTAACTATATCTTTACACTAAAATACTGATAATTATTTTAATGAAGTAGAGAGCTGTATTACATTGTGTAAATAAAAATTACCTGATTCTATCACTGGTTCCACTATAACCCCATCTACTCTCTATCTGACAAAATCTGGACACAACTTGTTCTTTGCCAGTCAGACAGCACCTTGGTACATCAAGGAAAGCTATCTGCGGTTTAGGATTTACGGTGAAGTATAAGAATAGTTTGACCACCTCTTTATCTTCTAACAATCCACTCTGAGCAGCTCCTTGAGCAAATTCTTCCACACTCATTAAAGGGAATCGAATCAGTCTTAATGCACGCCCCAACACTCCACGTTGATTCTCTGGACTTGGTGGCAAGTTTTTACGAGTGCATTCTGCCTCTGCCCAACGACAAACTGATGCGAAAAGTTTGAATTCTCTGATTCCTAATGTGTCCCGTTCTAGAACACAACAAAGTGTTTCTAAATCAATGTCTGTGAAACCATCAGCCTGTAAAGCCTCGTGTGTATTTTTATCAATAGTTTCTAAGCACAAAGCTGCCAGCTGGGGCTCGTCAAACAAACGTGCCTGCGTCAAAAGCATGAATGCATTGTCACTGCTCAAATTTCTCTTTAAGAACTCCACACATTGTTTCTCTAAAGCTGGGACTGCATATTTCTTAGCAGCATACAATGTAGTCATAACAGAATCAGAACAAATTTTAACTTCATCTGAATACAAAAATCTCAGAAGAGAAATGAAAGCTGCCGGCTCAACATCAGGGATTTCTACAATATCCTCTTGGGTTGCCATTGGACCATTGAACTGTGCATCAAACACAGCACTACCCACAGACAGGACAAATTTATGAGCAGGTATTTTTTGTTGATGAGGTGGAGCTCCAACCATAAAATGAACATCAGCCATTATTTCAGTGTTACAAAGATAAGAAAGTCTGTCTTTGACACAGATTTTAGTAGCCTGCCAGTTGTATGGAGCGTTTCCACCATGCCCAAAAGCTGCACTTGCAGTTGCCAGCAAATGGGCTTTATCTGGACCTGGGTCACTTTGTGACGAGATCTGGGTGACAAATTGACTAGAAAACACGGGTAAATCAGAAGTTGAAGGAACCCTCTCCATTTTGACAGGGTTTTGAGTAGGCAACTCTTGCAAGGAATTTAATGGTGAGTCTGGTACTCCTGAATCGTCCATAGCTTCAGCCACTGGCTCTGAATATGTGGCTGTTGAATTAGCTTGTTTTTGATTTAATTGGGGTTGTGACACTGAATTTAGAGGATTTCTTGGATTGACATTAAGCTTCTGATTTGTACACAAGTTTTTTGCAGTTTGATTTTCTTCTCTATTAGCAGTTTTTTCATCGTTTTTTCTCTCTTTTCTTTTTGGTTGTTTATCTGGTTTATCCTTTTCATCCATTTTTCTGTCCATATGGAACAGCCTTCTAATGAACTTTAACTCAATTTTTCCTGCAACAAAAATGTATAAATATAATAAATTTTCTCTTGAACACAATTGTTTGCTTTTGTTCGAACTTAAAAATATGCAATTATGCATGTTACATACATTGTACATGTACTTTATCACTGTTTATAGATACATGTACAATATATCTAGCTGAAATAATACAGATGATAATAATCCCTTAGCTATTAAACCTTCGTGAACTAGATGTATTCTATAGAACTACAACTGGCAAATAAAACTGACACTATACATGTAGTACTGTAAGTACAGTGTCTGTATGCAAAAGGTTGTACTAATATATATATATCTTACCTTTAATGTTTTGTTTGTATCTAAACATTTTTTTTATGTTTTTTAATTAACTGAGCCAAAGTAATAGGAAAATTGTTTCCATGGCCAAATAATGAAACTAATTGATGTAACCTGTATGACCAGATGACCTTAAACTTATTCTTAAAACATGACCATCAGGTGTTTGGGGTAATAGGAGAGACAGTGCACAATTTATCAATTTATGACTTTTATAATTCCATCAAAAAATATATATTATTGGATTTTAACAAGAAACTTAAGCAAATCTTGATGTATATAAAAAAGAAGATGTGGTATGATTACCAATGAGACAACTCTCCACAAGAGACCAAATGACACAGAAATTAACAACTATATATGTTTGGATTGATGGTCAATTGTAAATATAACTATGTACACTCTAATATACATTGATAACTCTATTGTTTTATAAAGTTCTATGGTGTTGTCCTGTTGAACAACTTGATTCGATTGATTTTTCCTTATCTCCATTAAGAGAAAATCCACATTTATTTCAACACGTTCAAGGTCAACATTACACTTGCAGTCATGAAACATTTAATTCAAATGATATACTTACGTTAAACTAATCCATGTTTCAAAATGTTTCCAATCAATAATTAGGAAAGATTTTTACTATTATTAAGTATACATGTATATTGTAACTAAGTGTACCACTATAACATCTCTTTTGTTCATAAAATGATTATTTTATTAACTAAATTGAGAGTGAAAAATAAATGCAAATGTACAAAAAACTGAAAAAATTAGATTTAAACATTAGTCGTTTATTCTAAAATTTCTGTTATGCCTTTTGTATTCAAATCTTCTTAAATATGAGTAAAGATAGTAAAGGATAACATTCATTTGAAATATGATTATAAACTGACTCACCCATATCATATAGGAACAAAATGATTTCCTGCTAAAAAATTTTACAATCCTCAAATGAAAATCAATGTCAAAAATTAAAACAAGGAAATAGATACCAATTTCCAAAACAATAAAAATAGTGACTGGTAATTACCCCTCTGATATATACGTTACATAATCTATACATGTTAATTGCAATAAACACATGGAACCCCCTCCTATAGATAAACAATCAATTGAAGGATACTGTTTCAAAGATCTCTTATCATACAATGGAACAATTGTATAAACACTTTTAAACAACAAGGGAATGTTCAAATAAATAAACTAGTGGTTTTATTACATTACGATCCTTATTTTCTTCTTTAAAAGGTATTATGTATACATACATGACATATGTACAAGTAAGTACTTTGGCATATTATCTTCTGCAATCTTACATTAATGCAATGCATATACATGTACATGTATATACTATAATACATGAATATAAAACATATACATTGAGAAGAACAAATATTATGGGGATCCAAAACTTATTTTTGTATGAGATTCAGAGAACGTAAATATTATTATCTTGCAAAACCCATTTTATGCTTATTTTTATAATAGACTTCCTCGTCAAATAGCCATTCATTTTTTTTGTATCTTTATAAATAAATAATAAACTTCATTTGCTTATAATATTACGTAACATATAATTATTTCCTTACTGACCAAAACAATACACATAAATCATGCATATATATACTTTGGCAATGATATACAATATCTATAGGAACCTTTGGCCGACTTCATACATACTATTCTGTCAGAAACTGATAAAATATTGGTATAGATTTTTATATTATTATAAATGAAATTGGTCTTTAATGTTTTTATCTGTAAAAAATTCTGAAAGAAACTGATAAATCACAAGATGATGTAGTTTTTAATAGCATTTTTTCTAAAAAAGTTGTCCTTGATAAGATATTCATGATACTGGTGGTATATATATATATTCATGATAGTGGAAGATCATCTGGTAATGTCATGAACGTACGATACATAAAATAAAGGTAGATAACTCTATTTTGTAATAATTCTGAATAAGCTTGGAATTAGTGAAAACCATTGAATTGGAACCAATATCAGAACCATGCAAATCCATCTGAATTATTCTTTCTATCAGTCAGATGTCTGTAAACATAATATTGCATTTTGTACCAAACTAGACAGCCAATTAAACTGAGACAACGATATCCACCATCGACTAAAGGATAATTTATGATATCCTAAAACATGTTTATGGTTTTAGCAGGACCTTTTCCAAAATCTAAAATTTTAACACCACTTATTACATGTATTCCTATTATATCATGACCATGATTGCATGATGACACAAATACAATAAATATCACGTTTGGCTACTGAAAGGTCTACAACTCAACAACGAGAAAAGCTAAAACCGTGAAAATTGAACTTGACCTTCATTTAGTCACAGCAAACAAAAAATCTAAATTTTAATGTTAATGAACGGACACCGTTTGGCAGTCGCCCGCCGTACATCCCCAAAAACTTCGACAATCCGGTCAACAAATATGGGCGAATGGAAATGTTGAAAAAGTTTATATGGATAGGTGTTCATGTCTGAAGTTCATCTGATGCAAGTCGTTCCAGCCCATATTTTAAATAAACTAACGGTTTTATTACATTACGATCCTTATTTTCTTCTTTAAAAGGTATTAAGTATACATATGTACAAGTAAGTACTTTGGCATATTATCTTCTGCAATCTTACATTGGCTGTAACAACCTGGCAAACAGGTACCTGGATTCTTTCCCAACCTGTCAAAGGGGTAGTAATGTCGTCATATCAATGAGCGTTTAGTACAGTGATTTTGTCATATTTTGGTTAAGTTGGACATGATTGTGTTAAGTGTTTTTAATGATATACAATGACACAATATAAACATTAGTTTTTTTTTGTTAAAGGAACTACTTAACATAAATTCAAGTTGGTAAGTATTTTTGTTTATAGCTAATATGTTAGTACCGGTACTTTCAAATTTGTATCATATACATGATATAGTAATTAAATTTAACACAAAATAATGCTTACGTATGTCAATATTTAAATTTCTCATGATAAATAAATGGGGAATGTGTCCATGGGACACAGATGATGCCCCTGCTTGCATATAATGTTATAAAAGGACATAACTCAAGAACTGTAAAAGTGACGCTACCCAAATTTTTACTTGATCTGAGTTTTGTGGTAATAAGCATTGTGTATAAGTTTCGTAACATTTAGTTGAGGCAAACTTAAGTTGAACAACGGGAACGAAAAATTCAGCAATTTTTCCATTTGTAAAGGGGCATAGTTCTAGAAAGGTAAAAGTGACACCACCAAAATTCAAACTTGATCAGTGTTTTGTGGTAATAAGCTTAAGCATTGTGTATAAGTATCATAACATTTGGTTGAGGCAAACTAAAGTTAGAGAACGGAAACGAAAAATTCAGCAATTTTTCCATTTGTAAAGAGGCATAACTCTTGAACGGTAAAAGTGATGCCACCAAAATTCAAACTTGATCTGTGTTTTGTGTTAATAAGCATTGTGTATAAGTTTCATAACATTTGGTTGAGGCAAACTAAAGTTAGAGAACGGAAACCAATTTTGGGACGTACGTACGGACAAGGGTAAGATTACATGTATTTTCCTCATTTTGAGTTGTTATAGATGGTTGCATTGTAAAGTAAATAAACATTATCGCAGTTTTTTTACGCTCTCATGCATATTTTTCTTTAGAAGACAAAGCATTGTCTTTCAATGTTGTCATAATTTCATGTAGATGCTTGACCATTTTATAAATGTGCTTGGGTCTTGAGGTTGACCAATTTGGGAAACTTATCGACTTATAGGAGTCAATATTTGCAACTTTTTAATTCAGGTCAAATATTTCTTGCTTAACACTAACTGACTTATTGAAGTCATAATTTGTCTTAAATTAAAGGGATACAAATCTTGAAACCTACAAATTTAGACCTCTATGAGTCAAAACCAGATTAAGACTTATTTATGAGCTCTGACTGATTATAATTTTTTTAGTTGATAATTACCACATGTTTGTTATCTTGATAAAAGGTGGAAATTATTGCATGAATAAAACAGATATAATCATTGATAGACTATCTATCAAATGTACTTATTAATTACACCATTTCTGTTCAAAGGGAAATAACTCAAAATAAATAAATCATATAATAAGTATCACTTTTGCTACTGAAAGATCTACAACTCAACAATGAGAACAGCTAAAATAGTGAAAATTGAACTTAACTTTCATTTAGTCACAGGAAACAACATAACTAAATTTGAAAAGATTTCGTCAAAGCGTTTTCATGTAAATGAACGGACACTGTTTGGCAGCCGCCTGCCGTACATCCCCAAATCAACAAGCATTCTGTGAATATTGCATGGCAATACATAATCCCCTGCCGGTTACAAATTCATTGTAATGGAACGAAATTCTAACTTGAACTAATACTTAAGCTTGTCATGGTGTAAACTACATAAAAACATCAAGGCAAAATCTTCAAGCATGATGAAAATAAAATGCTCCACTGGGTGCAGCTTGATACAACCGCAGAGGTCCAACCCTGAACACTTGGGGCAAGTATGGACACAACATTCAAGCTTGATACAGCACTGAATTTGGATTGTAATTAAATATTTGACACAGCATAGGTTTCTGACACAGAATGAATGTGGTCTAAGAACTTAAAATTTTTTAATGTACCTATTCAATCCATATCATTATTATTTGCTTTTATACATGTATATAAATCAGAAATAACCAATTTAAAATGGAATTTTTTAAAGAAAAAAAAATCCCCCCCCCAATTGTTTGAACCCCCTTATGATTCATCACCCCCAAACTCAATCCCAGCCATCCCTTTGTGTTATGGTACCTTGCAGTACAATTTCAGAGAGATCAAAACACTTGAACACAAGTTATTGTCTGGAAACAAGAAAAATGCTTGTTTTTTTACCTCTTTTTGGCCCCAAATTCCTAAATGTTAAGGGCAATTACCCCCAAACTCAAACCCAGCTTTCCCTTTGTGATATGGAACCTTGTTTTACAATTTCCTAAAGATCCATACACTTACACATAAGTTATTGTCCTGAAACTAGAAAAAATGCTTGTTTTTTGCCCCTTTTTGGCCCCTGATTCCTAAAATTTTGAGGCAATTACCCCCAAAATCAATCCCAGTCTTCCCTTTGTGGTAGGGTACCGTGCAGTACAATTTCAGAGAGATCCATACACTTGAACACAAGTTATTGTCTGGAAACTAGAAAAAATGCTTATTTTTGGCCCCTTATTCCTAAACGTTTTGGGCAATTACCCCCAAACTCAATTCCAGCCTTTCCTTTGTGATATGGTTTTTGTAGTACAATTTCAGAAAGATCCATACACTTACACACAAGTTATTGTGATGAAACTAGAAAAATGCTTGGTTTTTTGCCCCTAATTCCTAAAATTTTGAGCCAATTACCCCCAAAATCAATCCCAGCACTCCCTTTGTGATATGGAACTTTGTGGTACAATGTCAGAGAGATCCATACACTAACACACAAGTTCTGTCTGGAAGTTACAAAAATGCTTATTTATGGCCCCATTTTTTGCCCCTAATTCCTTAACTGTTGGTACCATAAACCCCAAAATCAATCCCAACCTTCCTTTTGTGGTATTGAACCTTATGGTAAAATTTCATAGAGATCCATTCACTTAAACTAAAGTTATTGTGCGAAAACCAATGTGTCTTCGGACGACGACGCCGCCAACGTCATACCAATATACGACCATAAAAACTGTTGAAACTGATTATTTAAGTGAATATTCTATGTCCAAAGACCATAACTCTACACAAAATTATCAGACTGGAACAAAATTCCAACTTTATCTGTAACTTGTCATGATAAAACTATATACTAATCATCAAATCAATATCTTCAAGAATGACAAACAAACCTACCACTACATTCTTCAAACAATTTACCGAAGACAAGAGGCTCTCAAGAGCCTGAATCGCTCACCTGTTATTTTTTTTGCTTAAATCTTTCATCAATGATTATTTTTGCTTTTTACCCATATGTTCCATTTTAGCCATAGTGTCTATGTTTCTTGATGTACAAGGAAA